ACACACACACACGGAAAACTGAAGGACACATTGCCTGCATTGTGCAAAGAGAGAATGGCAGCAAGGATACTGCCAGGAGGCGGCGATGCAAACACTCCTCCTGCAACAGCCGCCGACAGCATCCCTGCTCCGATATAACCTGAGGATACGAGGAGGAGAAATCAGAGCTGAGGTAATCAGAAGCATCTCATGTTCATGTGTAAAGGAATAGTCTTACCTGCGTGTGCAGGCTCGTGGCCCGACCCCCCTCCAGAGAGGAGGGCCACTTTTCCCTTGAGGTTTTCAAGGTCAGACCGAAGCACAACCCTGTGGCCCTTTAGCAGAGAGAGGCCCCCAGAGGCCCTGACGAGGCCGAGGAGGGCGTCATCCACGCAACTCTCTGCTGAGTTGATTAACTTCTTCTGGGGCTGAAATAGAAAGAGATAAAAAATAAAAAATGGGGAAAAAACCCACATAGAATATGTGTTTTTGATCAGCCTCAAAAGACACAATTGAGATGCCGTTTATCCTCATGCAAGTTACACAACGAGGCATGCGTGCGAATCTGTGGAAATGCCATTCAAATGTCTTAATGATTGAAGTCCAAGAGTTGCCCTCAGCAGGTGGCACAGACACAGTCAAGCAGATCCACGCGGCCTGTGTTTGTGTGTATGCGCGAGTTAAATTAAAGTTGGCAAAAGCTGCACAATTAAACTAAAAACAAACTAAAGTTTTATTTGCAACAACAGCGCAATTAAAATGCTGAGTTTTCACAGCTTGTTCCCGTTATCACTGCATGGACTCTGATCCATGTGCAAAGTGCTGCGGGCTCATCCAGCCTAGCGAACCACTGACAGTTCATGTTAACACAAATTATCAACCGGACAATCTTCACTCGTATTCAAACAGATCGCTTCAAATTGTCTTTATTCTTCTTCTTCTTCTTTTTTTTGTTTTACCTCCATCTTAACTTTTCTCGCTCTCTCACTCTTCCGACAGCAGGCACAATGAGCAGCGTCTGATCCGAAAGCTTTACTCAGACTGACACCTGCAGTCTGAGTAAGCAAGTATGCCTACAAAATAAAAGCATTGCTCCCCTTTTAAAAGCACACATATAGTCCGTGGAGTACAAAAATGCTCAAAAACTGCATTATGTTGGAGATACAGCAAAATCAGACTGCAATTAAATAAAAGAGCTAAAAGATGCGAGGCCAGAATATACTTGTGGTTTTAATTTGAAAATATCAAAGGAAGTCTTGTTTCGGTTTAAGCTCGAGAAAGGACACAGCGGTCACGCCCACCTTTTGTTTCCGGGAAAATTATTAAAACTTGAGTTTTCAGTTTGTTTCCTTTGTATATAGGCCATTGTCATATATAGATGTTCAAAGGGCTTTACAGGCACAAACACATATTAGGAAATTACATACGAGGTCACTTAGATGTAAAACCCCTCAGAAATAAAGGCATATAGTATAAAGTCACACATAAGTTCCTGTGAAATTAGACAAAGCGAAAATATGAAATAAAGGAACTTTAAAAACAAATAATCAAACAATAGAAATGCAAGAAAGAAACAATTTCAGAATTAACAGAAGTAAGAGGCCAACACATGATATCACTGAAGAAGATATGCATGTGCATATGTCTGAATCTGCCACATAATAAAATGTGGCTGCAATCTCTTCTTCTTCTTCTTCTTCTTCTTCTTCTTCTTCTTCTTCTTCTTCTGTTTATTTTCATGTGTGAGGAGGAATGGATAAAGTTCAAATGTTTTTGTATTTAGTTGTATTATTTTTAGGTTAATGAAAGTGGGCATACTTACAACTTATACAGTATTTCTTTTTTTCAATTTTTCATTGTGGTTTATTGTACAACTTTGTGCACACCTGTAGAAAAAACATCTCAGGGGCTAAAAACAAACTAAGTTTTGCAATAGGTCTCTTTGTGACAGCGTGACCAGTGCCTCGGTCACTTTAATTAAGCCTTATATGTCTTCTTGACTTTAGCCACTTCATTCTCATCAGCAAGTATTTCCCCATATCATTTATACCAATTG